CCAATATTATCGGGACCACATATTATATTAATCTTGGACTAGATAATATGGATATGGTGATGGATATCCTAATTGGGCCATGGCAATGGCATAGAGTTGACCGGTTGGTCAAACGGGGCCAAATTATCGGTATCGGCAATTTATCTGATAACAGCCCAAAAAGGGAGTCCGGAGATTTCTAAATTAAAGTTGGGGAATCATATTGATTCTAAGGCCCAATAAGGATTGGGAACAAATGTTATATTTTATTTGACCCGATAAAATGAAATATACTTAAAACGGTCCGGAAAATACAACTTTCGGGACCGATTGTACACTCCGGGACACAAAGGGTTGACCTCCCACATAAGTGGGGGCCAACCCACGTTTTTAGTTCTGGGAATGGCCAGAGGAGCCGCACAAGATCAGGGGGGAGCAATCAAGAATTGATTGGGAGACCAATCAACATGAGAGTGGGTCCTTGGCCAAGATATTTTTATGAGAAATGCCAAAAAGGCATCCTCGATCATACCAACTCCTACAGCTCGGTTAACCTACTCAAAGAAGTGAGAGAAGGTCTGAAATACTCCATTTCCTCATCCTTTCACGCACCAAGAACAAAGGAGGAAGGAGGGGAAAAGAGAAGAGGAAAAGTTGGTTTTGGAGAGGAAAACTTGTGTTTAGCAAGGTAAGGACTCCATTAACCCCAGTTTGTTTTCTTTAATCATATTATATGATTATTCAATCATACTTCACACCCTAGTATTGTTCTACACGTTGGGATTTGTAGAACGAGGGGTTGGGAGGTGGTTCTAAGCCCAAAAATGGACTTAGAAGCCAAAGGGACCGGTTCGCCGGAAAATAACCTTTTGGGGGTTATTTGTACTACTATGGGTTTTATGATGATAAAACCTTGTTAGTAACTTGTCTAAGGTATTCAAGGAACTTTCACGGAGTTGAAAGAGTCGCCGGAGTTGTCGCCGGAGTTCGTTGAAGTTCGTCGGAGTTTCACGGGAGCTAAATCGGGAAGGCTAGAACTTCATAAGCTTCATTAAGGTGAGAAGACGGCTCTATGCTTTATAACTTTTGCGTTAGGCATGAGATGACCTAAAGTAATCAAGGATATGTTTTGTGGAATGATTAAAGATAATCAAGTATTTGCTTATGTCATGATTTTGCATAAAACATAGTTGAAAAGCATGTTATGTAGGTTTGGTGATTAAAAATGTGATAATATATTTTGTGTGATGATCTAGGGATCCAAAATAGTATTTTTGGATCAAGGACATCAAGAAGTATATGTGTATAAAATTTCAAGTTAATCGGACTCCGTTTGGAGGGTAAAAAGGGGCGTTGACCGCCAAGTCAACTGCCATACCCGACCGGGTATTGACACATACCCGACCGGGTATTTGCTGAAAAATTGCCCAGGGGATACTGTCTCCTATACCCGATCGAGTATAGGTAGATACTCGATCGAGTATACATGGAAAATTAGCTTTGGGGGCTACCGCCTCCTGTACTCGACCGAGTATGGGTAGATACTCGATCGAGTATTGGTTTATGCTCAAAACGGGCAGTTTTGAGCGGGTTAATGTGGGCCGTTCAGGTGGGACCCGCCCACATTGGTTCCTAAGGATGGTTATATGACTATAGGGCTAGGTATTGTCCATAGTTGAAGGAACGAAAGGTTAGCCATATCCAGGTTAGGGTTTGGTAAGGATTTAGTTTGGGGTTGAGTATCCCCGGGACATTAGATGATCCCTGAAACTCGGTTGGGGTTGAGCATCCCCGGGACTATAAATGATCCTGAAACTCAGTTGGGGTTGAGCATCCCCGGGACATTAAATGATTCTGAAACTCGGTTGGGGTTGAACATCCTCGGGACCATACATGATCCTGAAACTCGGTTGGGGTTGAGCATCCCCGGGACTACAAATGATCCTGAAACTCGGTTGGGGTTGAGCATCCCCGGAACATTTAATGATCCTGAAACTCGGTTGGGGTTGAGCATCCCCGGGATGCTAAATGCTCCCAAAACTCGGTAGGATATTATGAATGTAGAATGTAGCTGGTGAGCTAGGCATTCGGGAAAAGGGTGAGAAAGGTCAGGTAAGAACTTTATCTCTAAAAGACTCTTTGAATGAAATGACCTACAGGTCGAGTATTTTACATATATATATATACAGTTTGTATCATCGGATGAATGAGTCACATATATATATGTATCACCCTATTTTTGGGTCTCGTGTCTGAAACATTAGTTATTCTTCATATAGCCTGCTTGTCACTAGTACTTCTATGGAGTACTGACCCCTCCGGGGGCCCTCACATTTTTCAGGTTGATGCTAGAGTCCTACTACCTGCACCTTTGCCTAGGGTGACTGATCGAGAAGGAAGACGTGGTTCGTGCTTCCATTCTTATTTCAAATGTATAAACCGCTCATGGATTTTTGAACAATATTTTAATTAAAACAGTTGGGGGCCTGCGTGCCCGTGTTTGCCACGTGTGGCTAAGTATCAAACATTTTATTATTTCCGCATTTGTTTTATTATGATATTGATGTTGATTGTATGTGTTTACTAATCGGTTTGGCAATAGAATCAATCGGACGCCTTGTACAACTCAATAGGGATGAACTGTTGTCGTTCTTATCGGGTTGTACGGCGGTTGTCTACGTGGCTCGGATGCGGTCCGGGGCGTGACACATGTGTCCTCCTCTCATTAGGATATCATATTTAAAATAGGGCACCAAGTATTATCCCTATTATAAATATCACCTTCCAACATGTGCAAAAGGATCCAATTGAGAATTCTCTTGCTGTTACTCTGCAGAATTTGATAATTTATTTTACTTAGCAACTTTTCCAATCTTCTCCCTTATTCGCTGGATTTCGGCTACCCCCTGGGGTCGGTAATCCATCAAGAGGCTTATGGTGAAAGTACTTCCTATTGTTGATAAGTTGAAGCATCACAAAGTGAAGGTGGAGAGAGTGTTTGTCGGGTTTATGTCGCAGAGGAGGAAATGTCATACTACCTCGTTTTGACTTGTAGTGAGGCTCGAGATATATGGTTAAAATTGGGGTTGCAGCAAGCCTTTACGTAACTGGAAAAAGAAATTGTGCTCCTTATCACGTGTCTTTGGAGTATAAGGAGATATATGATGTGGTGAGAGGGTGAAATGAAATCCAACTTGGTGTTACATTATGAAAACAAAGTAGCAATAAAGGGAAGACTATGGCATGGAAGAAACCCAAAATCTCATTGGCTCAAACATAATATTGACTCAGAAGAAAATGAGGTAATATCATGTGCGAGTATAGAGTTGGGTGGTCCAAGATGATAAATGTGCAGTTTGTAGCAGGTCCAGGCCTCAAAGTGACACTTTTCAGGAAACAAACTTCGATGGAAGCTTAGGCGGTTAAGGTTAGAGAGACTATTCATTCAATTAAAGAAGAGTTGACTAATGAGCCAATAGAATCACATTAGCTCGGTTAGTATGGGATCAAGAGGAGAGATGATGCTCTCTTTTTTATGTAATTTTAGATCATATTAGACATGTGATAAGAGATGAAGAAATATAGAGTCATTCTGCATAAGCGGCACAGAAATCGAGCGTCACACGCAAGGACTTCATTTGCACCTATTTGTATTGTCAACCTATTGAATAGGGGTGGGCATTTCAATTTTCGGTTCGGTTTTCTTCGGTTTCGGTTTCGGTTTAATCGGTTTGATAGAAAATGTACCAAATACAAACCGATTAAGTTTCAGTTTGGTTTCGGTTTGGTTCGGTTCGGTTTGGAGTTCGGTTTACCAAAGTATTAAGGTTTGGATTGAAAAAAAAACTCAAAATCATGAACCAAGAAGCGATAGTAATGAACCAAATATAAGGTTAGATATAAATTTGCAAACAGTAACAAAACACATATGAACCAAAAATATATAAGCATGACACATTTGTAAGCAACAACAACGGGAATGAATCAAATTTGATATAAAGCCGAAACAAAAACAAAACTGGTGTTTGTAAGTAATGAACCAAATATATAGTAGTAGTAGATAATAAATTATAGTTAAATACTATCTACTTAAACCACTATAGTTGTTATAGTTGTGAATGTAACTCTTGTAGTAAACTCTAGTCCTGGACACTAAAATTAAAGAATTAAAGCTTCAAAAAGATTAACATCAATCAAATTAATGAGAGAAATCTTATATTTTGGTTTGGTTTAGTTTGGTGTAAGTTGGTTTTGATTTGTTATTTTAAAAAAATAAGAAATTATTTCATGTTTAGATTAGTTCGGTTTTGTTCGGTTTTATTCGGTTTTATGATTTCGGTTCGATTTGGTTCGGTTTTATATGGGTTTGGAGGAATACTACCAAACTCAAACCAAATTAAAAATGGTTCGGTTTCGGTTTGGTTTAATTCGGTTTGGTCAAACCGAACCGTTATGCCCACCCCTACTATTGAATTTGATGCTTAAATAATGGTCTAACTAACAAAAAAAACTGAATGTTCATTTTTTTACATCCTAATGTTTGACTTTAAGAAAAACAATCACATATATGGACGATACTTAATTGCACAAAAAACTTAAATTGACTGAATGAATATACATAAGTTAATGGCGGGTTAGTTTGTTAAACGAGACAAGGGTTGATTGACCAAACTACCCCGACTGCAAGCATAAAAGCGTGGTTGATTGGAGAGATGCTGGAGAATCTTTCCGCAAGAGGCACGTTGGTTCGTTGACCGGACTACCCTCCCATGTACGTACGAATGTACGATGATTGATATTGTCGTCCCCATACATTACATGTTGGCTTCCTCTGACGTGGGCAACAATTCACGGAATCTTCAAATAATTTAACCGTCATTATTTATAATTTAACCCTCGTAATAATTTATAATTACGAGTTAATACGCAATATAATATATACACGGATTAAAACTCGGTCGCTGCCGCTGGTACAGTGACATATACGGTACTGTCACATAAATAAATACGTAGAAAAAGTGGAGAGTGGAGTCCGGACCAGACAACATATGCAAACCTATTCCTCCATTTCTTATGTTGTTGCTGTTTTGGGTTTTCTTCTCTTTCATTTTTTCTCTCTGCACCAAAAACCCTAACGCCATTTTTTTTTATTAAAAAAACGTTCTTTTGTTTTTCTTTTTTACCACACAGATCCTTCAACTATTCTGTAATTCCGTTTCTTCATTTTTTTCACCATCGAAAAACCCTAGCTCCCGTACGGATTCGATCGCCGTGTCGTTCTGAAATCCCGAGTCAATCGGGTTAGGGTTTTCGATTCGGGTTGCGGATCTCTGGTTCTCGGAACCCTAGTTCTTGTTTTGCCCTCTTCTATGGGCGAGGGGGTTGGATCTTCCGAGTAAAGATAGGTGTTGCGGTTCATCGGCTTCACTTTTTTTGTTTATCGGGATCCGGTTTCATGTATGGATTCGGGTACAAATGATTTGAATTCGAGAGAGAGGCTGCGGTGGGGCGACGTTTACAAAGTTTACACCAGAAAGGGTAAAAGGAAGGCCGCTTTTATAGCCGACAACGACGACGGTGACCCATACGCCGCCGCCGCTGCGCCGCAGGTCAGTATTTCCAACGACGATACCGAGAACGATAAAGCTGATGTTCGTGAGCCGAATCTGAAAACCCTAGCATCCAGAGGCGATTGTCAGGAAGAATCTGACGTTCAACAGCCGAATACCCAAACCCTAGAATCGGGAGGACCAAAACGACCGAATCAAGAGAATGAAAAACGGGATGCCAGGCACCATCTCGTGCAGGCGAATTCGGAATTGGGTGATTCATTGAGAGTAAGTTCTACACGGGATGCAGGGCACCTGGAAATAGTAACATCGAACGGTGAGAATAGACAAGATGATGGAATTGGACCCGTGGTGGAATCCGAGGGAAATGGTGGATGCCAACCCATGGTGCAGGATAATCACGTAGATGAGTTGGATGGAAGTGCTGAATATGGGCCCTTGGCTCAGAGGAATCACATAGACAAGCCTGATGCAAGTCTTGGATGTCAAGACTCGGTTCAGGGTAATTGCATAGGTAACCCTATTGGATGTGTTGGATTCCAGTCAGTGGTGCAGGATGACAAACCGGATGAACATCATGAATGCTCTCCAATGGCTCAAGATAATCACTCAGACACACCTGACAGAAGTCCTGGATGCAAGCCAGTGGTTCATACTAATAACATAAACAAGCCAAATGGAAGTATGGATTGCCAGCCTATGGTGCAGGATGATCACACAGACGAAGATGAATGTAGTGAGCCCCTTCCTATCATGCAGGATGGTGATCACGCAGAAGAACCAGATGGAAGTGTAGGGAATCACCAGCCTGTAATGCAGGACAACCTCATACAAGAGGCAGGTAGAAGCACCCAATGCCAGCAGCCCATCGTGCAGGAGGATAGTGAGCTGCCGCCATCTGTAAAGCCCAGCCCTATCGTCACTAGGGTAGAAGATAGGGTTAGGATTAATATTTCAGGGGTAAGGCCTGCAGATGAGATTCCAGATCTGATGAAGAAACTAGAGAGTGAGCTTTATCATGTCAAGGTTTTAGTAGAGAAGCTGGAAGCTAGTGAGCAGCACCAGCTAACAGCTTATGCTAATAATACTGTTGATGTTGGTGGTATTGGTAGCAGTGGTGGAAATGTTATCCCACATGCATATGAGCAGCCACATTTTCGTAGGAGTTATGTCATCAAGAACAGAACATTAATGAGAGTGAATTCAGAGGTAGGTCCTGTTCGGCACCAATTTAGGCCACCGAGTATTATAGTCACAGAAAACAATCATGGGGTTGGGGAATTTGTAGAGAAGGAAAAAAGGACACCGAAAGCCAATCAGTTCTATACAAATGCAGAGTTCTTACTCGGAAAGGACCGTTTGCCTCCCGAAAGCAATAAAAAGTCTAAGCCGAATGGTGGGGCTAGGAAGAAGCACGGTGGAGAGTTTGGCCATGGTTTTGGCTTCGGGTTTGGGTCTGAAAAGCAAAAGAATCAGGTGTTTAGGAGATGCAATGCTCTGCTTCAGAAGTTGATGAAGCACAATTATGGGTGGGTATTTAACAAACCGGTCGATGCTTTTGCCCTTCGGCTGCATGATTATCATGACATTATTAAACAGCCCATGGATTTAGGCACAGTTAAGATGAGGCTTTCTCAGAATTGGTACAAATCTCCAAGGGAGTTTGCAGAGGATGTGAGATTAGTGTTTCGTAATGCCATGACATATAACCCAAAAGGACAGGATGTTCACATTATGGCTGATCAGATGTCCAAGATGTTTGAAGAGAGGTGGGCAGATATAGAGTCCGAATACAATCCAAATTGGAGTCTTCAAGTTTATCATGACTCGGGTTTGCCCACCCCCACTTCTACAAAGACAGCTCCTCCTACATTTGTCCCCACCCCTATTTTGGCAGCTGGTTTTGGTTCTCAAACAAGGACTTTTGATAGGTCTGAGTCCCTAACTAGATCTGCCGATACCAAAATGAAGCCATCTGTGCCTTATAGGACACCAGTCCCTAAAAAACCTAAAGCCAAGGACCCCAACAAACGGGACATGACATACGAGGAGAAGCAGAAACTTAGCACAAATCTTCAAAGTTTGCCTTCTGAGAAGCTGGATGCTATTGTTCAGATCATCAAGAAGAGAAACTCAACACTTTCTCAACATGATGATGAGATTGAAGTAGATATTGATAGTGTTGATGCAGAGACACTTTGGGAACTTGATAGATTTGTAACCAATTACAAGAAAAGTCTGAGCAAAAATAGGAAGAAGGCTGAAATTGCTCGAGCCAGAGCAGCTCAGACTGCTCCTGTTTCGGTAAGAGTTTGATAGTCGGTATCTTCTATCAGTATGGGTGCATATGAAAATGCTAATGTTGTGTTATTGTTAATGTAGACCCCTTACCCAGTGGTTGCTGATTCACAGAAAGCAAGCAGAGGTGGTGAGTATCTTACTACCAAATAAGGATGGTGTTTTCATTGATTATATTATCATTCTAGATAGTTCTTTAATATGTCTTTGTGAAATTTTGATTTGTGAATAGGAAAAGGGAACTATTCTTCAGCTGCTTCCCCTGCTGGTCAAGGTGAAACACAGGTGGATAATGCAAGTAGGTCCAGCAGCAGCTCAAGTAGTTCTAGTAGTGATTCAGGATCGTCTTCAAGTGGTAAATATGAATTTTTCTTTTGAATGTTATGTGATATATTCTGATATGATGGCTGTATGTCTTGGAAACATCAGCAGTTCTTATTCTTAAGATCGTGGTTGAAGCCAACGGGTATATAATGTTGGTTACAATATATCTGCAGATTCTGATAGTGACAGTTCTTCTGCGTATGGATCAGATGCAGGGCGTTAGCTGAAAGGGCTCTTTGTTGCCTGGAAAAGCACACCGAGTCTTTGGTAATGACCATGCCATTTTTTTCGCCTTTGTTTTGTGATCCATACAATTTGTAGAGAAATAACATACCTGTTATTTTTAGACACATGTTCTTTATTTTTTATTCTTTCCCCGTAAACATCCTGTAAATATCAGAGAAAAGTAGGAAGCTCTTTTAATGGGAATATCTATTAAACTAACTCATGCTGACTTTGTACCGCCATGGCTGGGAATAAAGGATTAGCAATATTATTGGCTCTTAGTTTTTTGATTATGATTGTATGTTTGTTCAGTGAGAATACCCTGCTTCTCCTATATATACACCTTCAAGTGAATGTTTAAGCAATATATCTTGCTTCACTTTTTTTGTGTGAAGTAGATATATCCTGCTTCACACACACACTTCCTTGAGTGAACCATCAAATGCTGTCTTGTGAACTCAAGTAAAATGAGTTTTTTCTGGGTGACATTTACGTGATAAAGTTTGATTAGTGGAGCTGGTTGAGACTGAAAGTTGAGAGAATTAGAAGGCTTCGTACCAGTATTTATTCTCCAAAAATATATTGACAGGAAAGATGGTGTGGTACGAAGAAAGACTAACACCATTCCAAGGACCAGTGGTTTAGATACCTCAAGTCAATTCAGTGTTGGTTCTTAAAAGTCACTTTCACATTACAAGTTGTTAAAATTAATATTTTTTTATTGAAAAATGCGATAGAAATTAGCCATAAATTCCATCTCAAAAGAATTGTTTTGCTTCACGTGGTTTGCTTATGTATAAGCAACTGCATGTTGAATGAAGTGCGTTTTCACGCTCCTCTTTGACTACTGAACGCATTTCCTGCCTTATTTGCTTTAATAATGCATTAGCATATATTACGATATTAACTTTGGATTTTCATTTTGCAGTGCTGTCTGAAGAACGCCAGCGAAGTTCTTTTCTGCAGTTGAACTGCCATATTTTGAAACTTGAAAAGCTTTAATGGCCCTGCTATTAATATTGAGATTGCAAACTTGCAGCAGGGGAAGGAAAGGGTTTTATGTATGGATTGATTAGGTAGGTCACATCGTGGTTGAAGAAAGAATGGGTATATGTAACATTAGTCTTTTTTTCCTTTTTATGCCCTTCCAGCATTATTACAATTGAATCAATAACGTTCCTTTTCCCCACTTTTGAAAAGAGGAGTGAGTACATGTGATGAATGGGTAATTTGTGATTGCATTCATATGTTCCTGCATAACTGCTGTGTCATGGTTCGTTCTTGAAATGCTTTAATCAGCAAGCTGATGAGTGACAGAATGACAGAAACCGATGCAATCATGCAAACATCCTGGAACCTGCTGTGAGCCGAAAGTCCAACACTGGGCCTTATCTCTCGAACCATTTTGCACCTGGGAAAAAATCCAAAAAAATGACATCCTTTGGTAGGGAGATTGGGAATTTAAACCACCTTGTGGGCACATGTTGAACAGCAATATGAACAATGCATGTACAAATGTGCAATGGAAAACAAGGATTTAAATTAGTTAACAAATGTAAATATGCTCTTGATCTTTAACCCGTGCAAATTCAACAAAACAATGTCCAAGATGTAAACGATGTTTGCCTCCAAGTTCACATTGACCACTAAATGCTAATCAAGATTGAAAATAGTGTAAAAATGAATAAAGATTGTGTTCTTTATCACCTACAATTTTTATTTTATATTTTTAAGGGTACAGATATCTACAATATAATTACGGGAAAACTGTCAAATAGGTACACATACTTTTTATCGAATCAATTAGGTCCACAAAGTCTCAAAAAACAACCAAATTAGCTATTTAACGGAACCAACTGGTTATCCAGTCAACTGCCTACGTGGATGTTCTAGCTGGAATTTTTTTTCTATTTTTTTAATTTTCCTTTTCTTTCTCCACCCTCCCTTTTTCTCTTTCTTCTTCCTTGTCCGATCCTTTCCCTGTCCCCTGCTCTCGTCTGCTTCTTTCTTTCTTGCTTGCACTAAACCTTCTACCAATTTCTTCCAATTACTCCTTTTTTTCCGCTTGCGTCTCCTCCCATTGGAACGACCACCGCCGCGTGGCCTCCATTGCCATCACTCATTTCCGGTAGCCGTACAAATTTCCCCCCTTCAAGTTAAGGCCGTTTTGCTCCTGGACTTGATCGAATTTCAGCGAGTAGCCTGATGATCGTGTTGATGAATATTGAACAGTACGTCACTACATCAGTACCTATTTTCCGATGAGCCTCGGCGCGTCTGGTCCAAGCTTCGTCGCGGCAGAATTGATGGCGTAGAGTGAATGGGAAAAGAAATTGATAGTGGCGACTTCTTTGTCCAGAGCAATAGAGCATCTAACATCTTCCAGTAGCTACAGTGGAACTCCGGCATCAGCTTCTCGCGGTGGTGGGAAAGGAGAAAAAGGGTGACGACGGGTTCTATGGGGGCGGTGGATATGGATGTAAGGGTTGCGGAAATTGAGGTAAGGGCGGTGAAAGTGGAAAGGTCGCAGGGTTGGCGGTGGAGGCTTCAACTAAGCAAAGAAAACAAGATTCATTCTCTAGCAGGGAGAAAGAAGAACGTAAAAGGAAAAGAAAAAAAGAAGAAAGGAAGAAAACGTGAAAAAGGAAAAGAAAAACTACTCCCTCCGGTCCTAAATAAACTTCACACTTTCCATTTTGGGTAGGTCCAAAATAAACTTCACACTTCTTCTCCCTTCCTTATTTGGCAAATTATCTACATCAAAACAATGCAAAACAGTGCCAAACAGTGTCAAACAGTGTCAAACAGTGTCACAACAGTGTACTCTACAGTAAAGTCAAATTTATTTCCTTAATTTGTGTGAAGTCAAAGTGTGAAGTTTATTTAGGACCGGAAAGAGTATAAAATAGGAAACAGTAAAAAAAATCCAAGTGGACATCCACGTAGGTATGCAACCGGGTTACCGGCTGATAACCGGTTAAAAAGCTAATTTGACTATTTTTAACTCTTTGTGGACCAAATTGATTCATTTTAAAGTACATGAACCTAATTGACTTTTTTATAAAACTAGATGGACTTATTTGATAGTTTTTCCTATAATTAATTATAAATAACCGTACTTAACTAGTTACAATACCCATATTGATACAAAACGGACAATACAAACTGAAAATAACTTTTTAGGATTTTAAGGCTACAGCTTTTCCTTTTCATGAAAACAGAGAACCAAATTGAACACGCCTTGTAGTTTTTGAAAAAACATGGCAGCACCATGTGGTCCTTGAATCCTATATTTGTGTTAAATGCTTCAGTCCCACTTTAACAGGCTATATTAGTAGAAGCATAAACTCAACTATAATTTCTTCAATTCTGAAGTTTTTCTAATAATCCTATATTATTTAGCGTTGTGAATAATTTACTTTTAAATTAAAGGCCAACAAAAATGGAACCAAAGGCTTATGGTCAATTTGAATTTGTGGGCAAAAACTGATGATCACTATGATTGCACATAAAACAAACGTTTGAGACATGTTTGCACATCAATACTCCAAGGATCAGAACCTGGAGGCAAACATTAGGAACTATAATAAGCCTGGACTATCAGGTCTAGCAGAGTGAATTCTAGTGATTATGTGGTTAATAAAACACTGATATTTAACATGGATGAACTACAAATATTACTTCTTTTAGCAAATTCCAGTGAGTACATCTTTGTTACCTAATATGCCGAGTAAGGAAGACCAGCAGTCCCTATCAAGCATCTGAAAATTTGGTTGCAGTATAGCTATGAGTGAACCAAGATGCTTAGTCAGCCTACAAGTAACCAAAAAGGAAAGGCAATGGCAAGCACCATTTATAAGCACTGAGATAGAAGAAGATGCAAATTATGCTACAAAACATATTTAAAAAAGACTGCACACTTTTACGTGCACACACACCAACACTGTTCATGCTTTTTCATAAGGTTATAATGTCACAAATCTTCCTGCAACTCCAACCTTGAACATGGCCAAGCAGTGGCGTATCCAGAAAAATATGCCAGAGGGGGCGAATTTATCTTAGATTAGGAAAAAATCACTAAAAATCAGACTAATCATATTAAGAAAAAAATGTGAAATGAATTATAAATAACAAAACATTCTCTGGACAAAAGCATTACGATATCATGCTTAATTAAATTTCATTTGATAGAAATAATTTTATCACATGGCATCTGTAATTTGTGCAAAATTATGTCAATAAGTAAATGAATAAACTAAGGAAGGATCAAGCATGTGGTTAGAATTAGCAAAAATTGAAAATTCACACTTGCATTAAAAAATTAGTTTATATTATGTACAAAATCATTTCATATGTGAAACTAGAATGGTAACTATATTGATGTAGTTTAGATCTTTCCAACAAGAAAAAAGTTAAAAAGAATTAAAAAATCAGAAGCAAAGATTCGAACCCTTGACCATTTAGGAAGATCTACTAATGCCTACACTTCTTTCCACTCGGCCACGGACGTATATGGCCATATATCTAATACTTATTCTATAAGATCTCTTTATTCAACACAAAAAAATATATATAATTTTAAATGTGGTATATATATAGGGTTTGGGTGGGGGTTGAGTGGGGGCAGCTGCCCCGCTGCCCCCGCCTTGGAAACGCCCCTATGGCCAAGTGTTGCGATCAAGAATACTATGTTTCACATTTCAGATAATCTATTTCTGTCACCATAGAGATGGTGGCTGAATCTTTCAAAGCTTCTACAACTTCTTTTCAACCATCTTGGTTCGCATTGTGACTGCCACAATCTCATCATCTAACAAGTTGGATTTTGGAGCGGGCTGGAGTAAAACAGAGAACTAAGTAAACAAATTGCAGTTCAACAGCACGCACACCTAGTGCGCTGAAAAATAACAAATGGCTATATGAAAGGCCAAGTAAGATATAGCGCAATAGGGGGAACTAACTAAGCAAAATTGCAACACAGACCGCAATTAAATTATAATAACAATTAATTTGTGGCAGCAATTAAATTATGGCAACAAATTAGCATCTTACGCAATCCAAAGAACACCAAAAAAACGCATGTGGATTGATAATTGACAGCCAACAACAGCTCAAAATTGAAAAACCGTTCAAGAACAAATTAAGTAATTAAGTTGATGCAAGTAGAAAATCCACAACTACTACGAGTCTAAGACGATCAAATTAGTACTGCCTACTGAACACCGGCTAATCAGAATTACCAGAGCACGGGAAATGAGCTAAAACTGTCCAAAAAGACAAAAGAGGCCAAATATCAAATAAAGGATTACAAAAATCAACCAGAACGACCAATATGATGAGGTAAAGAAGAAATAGACCTCAGATCTGGTGTTCATATGGCTAACATCGGCTACAGAACCAGTGGCTGACCAATCCCGCTGGAAATCACACGGCAATTCGAATTGGAGCTTTTGAGACCCGATCTCATCATTTGAGTACAGCTTGTAATTGGAGTTGTACCGTTCCTTCTCTTCCCAGCCTCGATGCGCAGCATCCCTCTACTCTTTTTTCGTCATTTTTCTTCAAACATTAACTCCAAGTAAATGCCATCTCAAACTTTATTAAAGCTTATTACTAAAGAAATAGTGATAGATTAAAGTTTTTTACAATTCAATTTTTTATTAAGGACATAACTTCCATTTCAATTATTTTTTACAAATACAAATTATTACTATATTCAATGACTATATTGGTATTTCTCTCTCTAGGGTTACCTTTCGGTGACGCTTAGTTGGTATCATCCGTCGCCGACTGTACCAAGGTATATTCGGCGCCACTGGGAAGCCGTGAAGAGAGCAGGGCTCTATTTGAGTTCTTTTAAAGCTTGTCTTTTGGATTTCTCTCTGCGTTTCTCGCCGATGAGGTCTGTTGGAGCTTCGTGAGGAGAGTGGGGTTGGCTGTCGGGGTTACTATTGTCGAGTACCACGGACGAGTTCGGTGACGATAAGTTGTCCAATTTCAGTCCGAAAGGGAGGCAACGTGGAGAAGTGAATGGAAAGTGTCGTCGATAAATATAGGAAGATGGCGCTAGAGGAAGTGGAAGAAGAGTTGGACCTTGACAGA